ATTTCTGCCTGGAGTTCTTCTTTAAATTTACATTCTCCATCGGAAGTCTGCAGGATAGAGTGACAACACTGGAGCACGGACAAAGAGCTGTCACCCTAACACAGGAAGTGCCTTCCCTGCAATATCACCAAGGATTTTTATTTGTTTTAATGAAAGCTGCAGATTTATTGAAATATTGAATTAAATCGACATAGTAAAGCTTATTTGAAGTGACTGAGTGACTGACTTTAGGTTTTTGTTTTTTTTTAATAGTAAAGTCCAGAACTTAGATACCTGGTTTCCCCTTTCCTCCTCGAAGTCCTGGCAGGCCCTTATGTCCTTTTTCCCCTAAAACAAACATCAAAGAAATGTTTTATGTATACTGTATGTGCAAAACACAATAATGATGTAGTTGGATCTATATGTGCGTTATAATTAATCGAAATTCGTGGCTAGGGAGGATGGCTTTATTTAAGATGGACATCCTCCCAAGATTTCTTTACATGTTCCAGACGACCCCGGCAAAAATCCCCGGTTATATTTTCGTAGACTACGATCATTGCTTCTTAAATACACTTGGGGGCACTGCAGGGGCACGGCTGAGGTATGATATTTTGGTTAAAAGAAGATCAGAAGGGGGAGGGGAGCCTACCACATATGGAGATTTATTATAGGTCAGCGAACCTGAATAGAATGATGGATTGGTTCTGCCCGGCGCGACCTAAACTCTGGGTAACTATAGAACAGGCTGAGGTTACAACACCCTTGACATCATTACCATGGATTCGCCCAGATAAACGGCCGCGCGGGTGGAGCCAGTCTGTCGTAACTGGTACGATATGAAATATATGGGATGCACTGATGAAGAATTATGGTGTATCATCCTATGTGGGTCCACTGACACCCATCCTCGGTAATCCAGATTTTCCGCAGGGACTTGGAGTTAGAGGATTTTTGAGATGGAAGACCTTGAGGTACTCCCCAATATCCCAAGCACTGAATGGAATGGGAGTATTCCCCCTGATAGAGCTCCTGCCACCGGGAGCGGCGAGCCAAGGCAGATGGCTTGAGTACTTCCAACTCAAACATTTTTTCAATCATCTGTGTTCTCAGGGATACACAGAAAGAGAATTTACTCCAATCGAAAAAATGATCGTAAACAAACCGGGAGGTAAGCAGAGGGTGTCAAGAATATACAATATACTACTATACTCAATGCACTCGGATCTGCCTTATTATATTAGGGAATGGGAACGTGAAATAGGAAAGACATTCGCAAAACAGGAATGGCATATACTTTTCCTATTCATTTTTAAATCTAGCAATCCAGCTAAAATACAGGAGAGGAATTTCAAAATAGCAACTAGGTGGTATAGATGCCCAACAACAGTACATAAAATAAACCCTCAGGCAACAAAGATGTGTTGGAGATGAGGATTGGAAGAGGGCACAATGCTGCACATATGGTGGACGTGCCAGGGGATAAAGCGCTTCTGGGGACTTGTCTTTGAGATAGCAGGCAGAATTACGGGATTAAAATGGCCGGAAACCCCAGAAGTAGCATTATTATCAATGCTTCCGGGCTCGGTGAAAAGGATCAAGGAGGGACTGATATGCCCCCTATTGGCAGCAGCAAGGACGATAATCCCAAGACACTGGAGACAATCAAAGACCCCCGAGATTCGGGAATGGGTGGTAGAAATGAGTCATATAATGCGCATGGAAGAATTGACAGCTCGATTATATGATAGACACTCGATATTTATTGAAAAATGGAGACCATGGAGAACTTTCTTGGGCTCAATTGAGATTCGTCAATATTTATAAGAAATTAAGAAATTAATATCTTGCTTCTCTACTTCCCTTGGTTCTTTTTTTTTTTTTTCTTGGGGAAGGATGAAGGGTGGGGGTGGGGGGAATGGAGGATGGATGGGTATGACAGGAGCAAGTAGTAGTTTTATTCTCAAGAATTGTCAGGAGCAAAGGTATGATAATGAGGTAGCTGTTGTGGGTTTAGAGGCAGTAAATATCTTTGTTTTGTGTTATAAGAGTTTTATAAGTGTGTACTTTGTAATGATAATATGAGATAATCGTTTTTAAACATTAGCTTTCCACTTGTGCCATTTGAAATTACCAAATAACCATAGTAATAGTTGTTGGACTTAGGTGCTATTGTCATTTTTGTATAACTTGGATGTTGATTTTGTATATGAAAAGTAATCAATATAAAAAATTTTTATCGAAATTAATCGATTAATCGATTAAAATAATTTGATTAATCGAACACGAAAATTTTAATCAGTAACAGCCCTACTTTTTTCTTAATATATTTCTATGACCAGCTTTCTCGCCTCTCTGAGTGGCTGCTGCGGCTGGCGAGAAGGAACTCAGCAGAGGTTGCCGGTGGCCAAAATCTGGGCAAATAAATTCAGCCCTGGTCTGTACACATTGCAGAGACGAGACGGGGCTTTGTGGTCACATAAGCACATAGAAAACACCATTTCTATAAAAAAAACATAGGTATTCAGAATGCAATTTATTAGCTGCTATATGCGGAGAGGGGGGAGGGGGGAGTTAGCGTGCAGAGGCAACACATAAAACTGGCTGATAGCCGCCTTTCCTTCTACTTCAACATGTATGCAGATTATGAATTCCATACTCACTTTGACTTTCCTGATCCGCATATCTCTTCTGAATTATTGATCAGATGATCCACAAGACAGAATGTCAGAATAATGGCCGCCTCCATATTGTTCTCTTTGATAAGTTTTGTTAAAGTAATTTACATGAAGGAAGACAAAACAAACTTGACAACATGAAGGGAAGCTGTTATCCTCTTAGGTTACATTCAGACTATTGTGTCACCGTCATTGCCATATGCATATTTCAGATGTGTATTTAGTACCTTTGCCTGTAGTTCATCTTTAGCCCGGGTTCACACTGTTTTGCTGCAGTAACGTGTGTGTTGCACTTCAATGGTACATCTAGGGTTGATACCTGCCCCGGATTCACGGTCCGGGTTTTGAGTCCTGTATGTGCTGTGTCTGGGTTTTTAGCTGGCCTGAAACCCGGAAATAGCAAATACCGGACTCAAAACACAGACTGCCCAGGTCAATCCGGGATAGGTGGCAACCCTAGGTGCATCACATACCTGTTCCTGCATTCAGAGCAGGTGCTTGCATTATTTTGTATTGCGACACACAGGACACTGTGCATTGTGGTGTATTATGTTGGTGTGCCATTCACAAGTAATGGCACCGCAGAGAACAAACGGCCTGGTGTGAACGGGGGGGCCATAATGTAAACTACAATTTTCTCAGTAACATAAAAAAAGTGCAATGATGATTTCTGACCAGCAGAGGGCAGTGTGGTTCTTTTAAGTGATACCTGCCATTACAGTGTATAATGGTCTTGTATAAGCTGTGCAGAGTAGAGGTTTTGGCAGTAATTAGGAGTTAGGGGTCGATTTATCTTTTATTTATTTTTTAAACTAAGATTCACATAACCTTTAACCAAGATTCTTATATTTTTCTAACTGAACCTTATGTAAAATGTATGTGAATCTTAGGTGAAAGGTTTGTGAATCACTGATAAACAGACCTCTTATTTTCTGTTTGAATAAGGTAGTACCCTAAATCAACCAACCAGAGACTTTATTTACTGTTCTGTCTTCTGAAAACTGATATGTAATTTGATTAAGACCAGGGCCGGATTTACCATTTGGCAAAGTAGGCTCGTGCCTAGAGGCGCTCTCCATAGATGGGCATCGTGGCGGTAGCTACTAATGCCTAATTCCTGGTGTTGTGTCAAGATACGCAAGATTCTGCACGAAATGGACCCTCCTGCTCCATGACCAGCCGTGCCTACAGGAACCGCTGGCTTCCGCAAAACACAGGGGAAGGATCCGGGTGCTGAGCAAGGCTGCCCTATAAAACATCTGTCTGATGCGGACAGGCATTTAGTACAGCCTTATGGGACATCGGGGTCCTTCTCTGCCTATGTGAAAGCCGGCGGGTCTCACAGTAGGTAAGGGTGCCAGATTAGGCTATACATATTTCTATTCATGCCTACAGGCACCCGAAATGAAAATCCGCCCCTGATTTACGACAAATATCCTCTAGGTGCTTGTTGCACAAAAAAAAAAGACCTAAAGTATATCTAATATATACAAAAACCTATTTTCCTCCAGATGCATAGAGTGTTCCCTTTGCATTAAGTAATCTAAAAATGCAGGGATTCCCCCCACCGCTCTGATCCTGACTGGAGGAACGGACGGGGGAGGGGGCGGGCACAGCTGGCTCTGCCTCTAGATAGGCAGAGCCAGCTGTCACTCGCGCAGCTGGGTGGATCTCGACAGTAATGTCGGATCCGTCCCAGCTGCGGTGGTCTCAGTATACCGCGAGCTGAGCTTTGGGTCACGGGAGGAGGTTAGTATATGTCCTCCCGTGACCCTAAAGAGAACTATGGGGAAAAACGCTTACCCCGTAGTTCTCTTTTAATTGCTCGTATTTGTCTAGGTGCTAAAATAAAAAAAGTTATACTCACCCGATCCTCAGAGTTTGTGTGCTGTTAGACCGGTTCCTGGAGCCTCGTTCCCCCTCTGCTGCAGTGGTCTAAGGTCCCTGAGTCATCACAGTGTATAGGACATGAGGACACTGAGGACCATCCCTGCAGCAGAGGAGGGGACAGGCTTCAGGGACCGGACTAAGAGCAAGCAAGCTCCAAGGGTTCACGTGAGTCGGGTAAAAATCGGGTAACTGTGTTATTTTAGCACCTAGATGGAAACGAGCACTTAATCATTGCAAGGGTAAAGAAAAAACTTTCCCCGGAGTTCTGCTTTAAAGTGAAGGGCCCTGTGGAAAGTTTATTAATAGACTTCTAAGATTCAAATTTTCCATGAAAAACATTTGCTTATAATCTTCCTGGCTCTTGCTGTCTAGGCATGAAAAAGTTTTTATCTGCTCTGGTAGAAAGAGACTTTAAAAAAAAAAAAATTAACAAAGTTGCACAAAAATGGTTAAGAAAATCACACTTTTTAGTGCATGTGAATCTGCCTGAATACAAACCATAGGAAGATGTAATGTCGTAGAATGAACACTAGATGGAGCTAGTTACACACCAGCTCCAGCATGTCATTCTGATCTTATTTTGGGTCCCTTTTGCTTCTCCTTTGTGGCCCTCAGCCAGTTAAAAGATTGAAATTAAATGGGGCCCCAGCTGTTCTCTGGTTGATAATAGCTACAACTCGTACCTAATTCTGCAGCTAAATTCCTCAGGACATTCTCTTTTCTGCAGGTTAATCTGCTGTAAATTGCAATTATTATAGTAATATAGTAATGTTAATGCTATAATAAATGCTATAGCCTTTGTCTGAAAATATGTGGGTGCGACCCTTAGATGTCATATTGTGGCCCCCTGAAGGTTTGATTCCACTCAGTCAGTCCCATTGTTTAATTTGAGTTTTACATGCAGAACTGTAGCCCATGATAGAACATAGAGCTGACACTAGGTAATGGCACACCGCTTGGCCCATTGTCCAATATAATATACAAAGCATTTTTTTTTGTACCATGGTTTAGGTCCAGCATATCAGAAGACACATTGGCTCTCTGCAGCCTCTCAGCAGGGGCTCACTTACTGCACTGTGTAATTTATCATACAATATGGCTGTGTTTCTCTGCCGGGAGTGAAAGGTGCAGCATACAGGCGAGGCCACTTAGCTGGTACATATCAATGGCTGGTGGTGGCTGCATAAATATATGCAAAATGTATGTGAATACAAGTGACTACATGCATACAGCAGACATCCCAACCTGCAAAAACTAATTTCAGGGAGTTGCCCTCTCCCCCCAGATGGCAGGGGAATCAACAGATAGCAAATGAGCGAAATGCTAATGATAGCAGAGAAGCAGGGGAAAGAGTAGCTGGGCTGCTATTGGCCATTTTAAAGTGCAATAGCAGGCTGGCTATTGTACCCGCCCACTGCTGCAGCAGAGGAGGAGCTTAAGGAGAACTTCAGGTCCACTGGTGGCCACTGTCAGAATAAACAAAAACAAAAAACAGATAGCAGGGTAATCAGCCCAGGAAAGGTTTACGCTCCTAGATAGAGTGGGGTAAACCTTTCCGGAATCAAATGTTTCTCTTGTGGGTGTCAGGGAGCCACTATCTTATAGCGGGAGACTCCTGAAATGTGTTGGAGAGTTGGGATGTCTGCATACAGGGCCATATGCACCTGTACATGCTACATGCATACAGAGTTGTATGCACTTGCACATGCATACAGGTGCATGCAACCATCTATGTATGTAAGAAGAAAATAATGTCACCAGAACCAGCTCATTCTGAGCCTGATGACGGGGACCCCTTGAGGCCCCAAAAGCGCTTGCATTGAATGGCAATGTGCCATTAAAAATGGATCATTGATTTACTATTACGGTGTGTTGGTGACATTATTTTCTTCTTCTGTGGTATACACGGTGCCTTCCGTGGTCACTACGAGCACCCACCCGTTTGGGTTCTTTCCGGTAAGGAGTGCAGCAAGACCTCTGGTTCCTAAACATCTATGTATGTAGGCGCTCAGATTTGTGTCATATTTACATGACCCTGCCATGTAAATATACAGGCTGATTGGTGGTGGCTGTATGATGCACCTGCTACATATTGTACGCTATATAGCCATTTACTCCCATGTTCATGCATCTGTGCTGAAGTGTAAGTGTAATCAGATACCAAACACTGGAATCCAGAGGTACAGTGTTAAAATGGAGGGAAGGTAAGAGATGCGGGCCCCTGGAGAGGCCAGTTTACCATCTCTGCTATTGCAGGGACTTTTCTACTGTATTTTTTGTTAATCTGAGAGCATTGCTTTAAATGCGTGTCACCGCACGTCAAGACAAAAAAATGTGTAGAGATACCCACGTCTAGGTCTGAATGGAACCCAATACTTAACCTAATTGTTAAATCAGTTTGGGATTTACTGGATGCCATTGGGATGAGTCAAGCCAGTGGGTGACTAAGCCCAGTAGAGTTTTCCTACAGCTATACACCAGTTTTTCAGTGTGACGGTCACCTTATAAACTGAAATTTTTATGGGTGTAAGTGCCATAGTCAGGGAGAAAATACAAAAATTGCTGAGAATACCGACATTGGAGTGAATATGCTCATTCCATTCATACAAATATTACTTTGATTTTTAATGATTGATAAAACAAATTTAAAAAAGAAAACCAAATGTCCTACCTTTGCCACCGATAGGGCCAATTTTACCTATAAGCCCTTGGTCACCCAAGTCTCCAAATTTTCCTTTATCGCCTGAAATGCAGAACATGTTAAGAATACAAAATAATATACAGTGTCTATCTATCTATCTATCTATCGATCTATCTATCTATCGATCTATCTATCTATCTATCTATCTATCTATCTATCTATCTATCTATCTATCTATCTATCTATCTATCTATCGATCATCATGTATTGCGATGTAATAATACATTATGGTCACTAGATAGAGCTGATGATCAAATAAAAAAAGTATTTATTTCCTATCTTCTGCTCCATCTAGTGGCCATAGTGCAATATTACATCACAATACATACAACCTGAAAGGAAAATACGTTAAGAACATTTGTTTTTGCCATTATACGGACAAAACAAACAGTCACAGATATTCCCACAGTTAATGGCCTTGAAAATTGTTCATAAATAGCAATGTTTTTTTCACCACACATTTCCTTTATACTAGTACTTGAAAGTAAGCAGTACAATTTTATTAGTGGTTGGAAATAAAGTACAGAGCTAAGTAATACTGTACATGCCTTAATTCCAGTGTGAAAGGAGGGAAAGCTATAGAAAAAAAAGACAATGAGGGAGTTTGGTGCTAAAATATGAACTGTTCCTTGAAATAAAAGTGCTAACCAAAATTATTTTTCTCTGCAAAAACGATAGTAACTGCTTATCTCTACTGCCACCCAGTTGCCGGGTTGTTGTGTCTATGGGTGGCACCGTGGCAGAAGAGGTTTTTATTGACTTTTTTGGTGGCAAACATATTTGTGGAGTTTTCGCTTTACAGACACATTCACTATAAAAACACTACTATAAGACATTAGTTTATTACAGAGACCTGTGTCATTACAAAGCTATAGCTAACCATGTGACCTATTACTTCCAGTGCAGCATCATGGATATTTCTAAATGCCATTCATGTGAATGTTACTAAACATTGTTTCTGACCAAGTACATCCTTTATGGAAATGGTAATCCTCGATGGCGGTGGCCTCCTTCAGAAGGATACTGCGCCATGCCACACGGCAAGAATGGTTCAATAATGGTTTGAGGAGCACAACAAGGAGTCTGAGGTGATGATTGTCCTCCAAATTCACCAGATCTTAATCCCATCAAACATCTGTGGGATGTGCTGGAAAAACAAGTCCGATCCATGGAGGCCCCACCTCACTTTACAGGACTTAAAGGATCTGCAACTGACGGCTTGGTGCCAGAGACCACAGCATACCTTCAGAGGTCTAGTGGAGTCCTTGACGGGTCAGGAAAAGGGGGACCTACTCAATATTAGGCAGGGGCATAGCCCCTGCCCTTTGGACCGTTAGCATTCCTCTGATTATTATCCCTCTAAACCACAGGTGTCAAACTCAAGGCCCAGGGGGCCATTTCCTAGACTTCTACTTTCAGATCTAGGTATTAACTTATTACTAACTTATAACTAAAACCAGTGATAATCGAATGCAGAGGCAATTATGATAAAGATTAGAAACATTTATATAGTCTTACTCCCAGTCCCCCCTCCAGGGTCACCTTCTTAGGGGGTCGGATGAGCCTCTTCTCCCAGTTAATGGTTGAGCTAGAAGGGGAAGAGAGGAAGGCCGGGCGGATGACAGCCTGGAAGAGCTAATCAGGCCCAGGGAGGCGGCATGTGGGGGGCAGCCTCTTCACCTCTGTCAGCCTCTCCTCCCCATCTGCATCCTCTTCCTCCTCACTGCTGCTCTGAGCTGCCATACTTCCGGGGAAAGACATTCCTGGGTGCACACACTCTGTTTATGCCGGAATGGGACGTCCTGCTCCCAAGCAGCTGTACTCTGTTGGATCCCTATTGTATGAGCAGACACACAGCACTGAATGGCCCTGCCCGCAGCGCCCCTAAAAATTATGTCATAATGTTATGGCTGATTGGTGCACATTAATGTTATCCTAAATTAATTTCCAAATTTTGTACTGTTGAATAAATCATAATGGGGCCTGGCAGAGTCATCTCCTACATAATGGTATCTTCATGAAGTGTCCTTTTTTTTTGTTGCTCCATTATCTCGATACTTTCATTCTGCAGCTTTCGAAGAGTTAAGAAATGCAAATGGTACTTAAATCCTCTCTCTTGGCACTGACAGTCATTTCCTTTTTGGTTCACACTTACAATCCATTCTCAGCAATTTATTCATACACAGAGCAAGTGTTCAAATGCAGCTCCTGCCAAATATCTCTTTTTATGTGATTCCAAGGCAAGAATGGGCCCACTTGTGCTAGAAAGACAGGGATCGTATTTTTCAGGCCACTGTGCATACAATAAATCTGAACGCCGGCCAAAAGTAAATACAGAAATATGCAGATATGTGCACTATTTCATCTGCTGAAAAAGCTGAGATTCTGGTAAGTCATGTGATCCAGGCACTTCTATCAGGCAACAAAGCCAGGTCCTGGACATTCAATGCAGTTAAAAAAAAAAAATATATATATATACACATACATACATACATACATACATACACATACACATACATATATATATATAGAGAGAGATATATATACACAGTATATATACAATATATATTTCATCACCTGCTCTGTCTGCTCTGACTACATACAGACTTTTAATTAGAAAGGACTATCTGAAAACAATTGTTTATTTATTTAGTTCTATATAAATTGTAACAAAAGTATAAAATATTGGCTTGCAAATAATTAACATAGAACTCACCGTCACCACCATCGAGTACGGCTTTGTACAGGACCCAAAGGACCCATGCATAGCCTGCTCTTCCTCTTCTACTGTTTTAGACTAAAAGCACTGTACAAAACAAAATAGATATGACCCTCCTCCCCGCACCCCCCCCCACCCAGCCAGCACTACAACG